CTTTGAAGCTTCTGACAAAGTACTCCTATTTCTACTTTTCTATATTATCCTCCAGAGCTCCTTTCCTATGGGAGTTGTCTTGCTTTTGAGAAAGACGCCTCTCTAAATTGCACCCTGAGCATCAGGTGTGTTGTAATCCTCTGGGTGTATGGCTTTGCCTGTGCTACAGTATTCATGTTTGGAAACCATCCTAAGCAAAAAAAAAAAAAAATGAAAATAGTTAACTTAATTGGCAGCTACTGAATTTGAGAAAAAGACTCCCAAACCTAGATATGTAAGGTTTGATTAGTCAAAACCAGGGTTATGTACAGTTCAGGCCTCTAGTGTAACATACTGATACTGGAGATGTTAGCCACTTTGACCTAGGCAGTCAAATATCAGAATCCTGTAAGATATTTTTAAGAAGAGAATAATGGAACAGCTAGTTGTTCTTTCAACAAAATCCTGTCTATGTGCACAAAAGCACAAAATCCCGTTTCATTTGCACAACCTCATATCTCACAGAAGAAACCTGGAATCCATATGTTTCTGTAATTAAGGGAAAGGTCTCTTCATCATTTTATACTCTCCTGAGTAACCAATTCTTGCTTTATTGGGGTTTTTTTGTTGTTTGTGTTTTGGGTTTTGTTTGTTTGTTTGTTTTGTTAAGCAACGTATCAGCATTAATACCTTCGTGTGAGCATCTGGTGCAAAGTCACAATACTGCAGTCTTTCCAGCCACCAAAGATCCCTATCCTAAATAAGTTTTTCCAAGAGCTGCTGCATTAATGAAGCCAGGTTTCCTCCAAATTTGTTCTCTAGCCACTGAATGCCATGAGTCACCTCCTCCCATACCATAAACCTTCCTTTGCTTAGTCCTCCCCTACATGTTTGAGATGGACAAGAAGTCCAGCTGCAGTTAAGTCTTAATTATGTGTATACAGGTTGGTGAGCTGACTTCTGTCCCTTGGAAGGGTAAAAGCTAAGTTACACTTTTCTCTCTGTGGGACATTCATAGGGTTTTTTTGTTCCAGATACCATTTCACAACACATCAGAAACTTAGTCAATCTTTAACATTTGTGCCATCATGTAAAATCAGATCTAAATGAGACAATGACTTCAAAAGTAGCAGGGAGAGAGCAATTGAAAAAAACCCAACATAACCCAAACCAAAACCAACCCAACAATCATTACCTAAGCTTTGTTTTCTTAACACGCTAGGACCATGTCAGCCATGCTGAAAGAACAGAAGGGATATATGGCCTATCATGACAAGAAACTTCCATACAGAATCATGGAATCACAGAATAATAAGGGTTAGAAAGTACTTCTGAGATCACCAAGTCCAACCAACAATACAAAAAAAAGAGAAACCCAAAACAAAAAAACCCTAACACCAAACAACAAACCACCAAAAAACAACCACAAAACCCCCCACACCTCAGCTACTAGAGCATGCCCTGAAGTGCCACAGGTACACATTTCTTGAATACCTCCAGGGATGGTGACTCAACTACCTCCCTGGGCAGGCTGTTCCAGTGCCTGACCACTCTTTCAGTATATAAATTCTTATTAATGTCCAATCAAAATCTCCCTTGCTGCAACTTCAGGCCATTTCCTCTGGTCCTGTCATTCGCTTGGGAGAAGAGGCCAACTTCACCTCACTACTACAGCTACCTTTCAGGTACCTTTCAGGTGGCTGTAAAGGGTGATGAGGTCTCCCCTCAGCCTCCTTTTCTTCAGACTAAATAATCTGTGAAAAGTTATTTTAAGTGAAAAGTTATTTCACATGTAAATGTTATTTCAAACCAATGTAACCACTACTAATTCCTGTTCAGTGGTGCCAGGGAATTTAGACTTTTGCTGTGCTAAGTCACCTCCAACTCAACAATGTTTGAGTTCTTATGTAAGCACAAGCACTCATATCTGATATGAAATAGGTTTTGAAATGTGAATACGCTGATATTGTGGCAGTTACTATGTTGGGGTTTTTTTTAACCAGAAGGGCTCAAATGCTCTCAACCACTGAGATGTTTTCATTTTCTTCCCCAATTTATGAAATAGTTTTGCAATATTGACAAACCCACAAAAAAGCTTCCAGAATAGAAAAGCTCTGCAGAAAGTCTGCATGTCTGCCAGCCTGTAGGGGAGAGCCAATTTTGTGAGATTATTTCCTTTTTATCAAAGGAAACATTTTGCCCCTCACCTCTCCCCTTATCTCACCTGCAGGAATCAGCAGGGTCTTCTAAAAAAATCATATCTTTTTGGGTTTATTTGGTTTGATTAGTACTTTTAAGCTTACTTTAGACCATTTGCAGCATATACCTTAATATCTCATGTAGATAATATACAAGCTGAGGGAGAAATATGACCCAAAAGCCTTCCAACATAGCTAGTAGGTGACATGCCATGAGAGCTACTTTAACCTGCTGCTGACCTTGTCCTGCAGGGAAAATAGTCTATTCAGTGTTCTTGTGATCCACCTCCTAATATTGCACTTTGAAATTGAGGGTGAAGAATCACATTTAATTTGCCAGAGCATCCAGTGTATAATTTATTTGTCATACTAAATAAAAACTATTTCAGTAATTTGGCTTGCCAGAGTTCACAAACACTCCAGCACTACAATTTTTTTCTTAACTCCTACTACAGGTGAGGCCCAAGGACTGACTAAAACCTCACACATATCTTCTAGATCAATTTATCTCAGGATTTCTCTCTCATTATTAATAACATATACTGATAGGCCTGACTACCATGTCAATGCCCTGTCCCCTTTAGAGGATCTTGCCCCCAGTAATCAATCTTGTGATGACCAGTCCAAGACAAACTGCATTTTCAGAAATGAGAAAACATTTCAGACTCATGTGATGCACTGTATTGGATCAATAAAAGTTCTTTCATCCCTGCTTTTCCTCAAAAGGCTGAACCTGTATCTTACAAACTCCACCTTCTACACATTTGACTTCTTTCTTTACAATCTTCTTCCTGTCAGAAATTTTAAGTTACTCTGCAGTTACTCACTACAGCAAAAGTTAGTAACCGTTTTTCAGATTCTACGGTGCTATATATTTTTCACTCACTGTCTCTACTGAACAAATTAGGTGGAAAATTAGAGCTCTGTCTTGTAGCATCTTCTGAAAATGCCTGGTCTAATACCCACCATGTTTTTGCCAGGTTCCACTTTTCTGCATGTTTATAGATGTGATTCAATAGACAGATTCTGGCTATTGTTTTAAGTGCCCAAAATAAATCCCAGAAAAATGATGCCTGCATTTCCAAGATGTTTGTCTTTCTGTGTGTGAGTTCCCATCTTCAATCATCCCTACCCTTCCTAGACTAGGAAAGGAGATTTCACCATCTGTTAAGGTCTGTGCTGGCCAGCATATTATTATGGTAATTGTTATAGCATTCAAATTTTTTTCAGTATCAGCTTTCCACAGAACTGCCAGTTTTTAATTTTATATTTTTGCCAACTGTCTCTGATAATGGACTATGTCTCTTTCTAATTCTTAAAAAATACCACATACCAGATGTTAATCCCTACCCTCCCATTAAATGCAGAACTGAGCTGATGAGGATGATAACTGCTGCCTTCTTAATTACTGTTTTACTCTGATGAAGAGTATATCTCATAATCCAGAAAATCGTTATAGTTTTGTAGGCATCTAATGTTTCCTTTCACTTATCTCGATAACATAGTCAGTCTACAGACTGGAGATTCCTAACGGGTATATACACACACAGAGGAAGACACAAATCTTTTCAAGTCCTCTAATAGCCCAGCCAGAACTTCTTTCTCCCCACCTTCTAGCACACATCTGCCCCTAAATAGCTGATTAAGGTAGGCCTTGCCACTTGCTATGTTAAGGGCTAAGAGGTGATCTGCTTAATTATATTTCTAGGAGCAAATTGTAATGTGCCACTAGCACTGCAACACCGAATTTAGCCCCTGGAAATACCTTCTTCTCTTACCTTCTCTATTTGGACTGTGAATTTAGCTTCAACCAGTACCTTTTTTTATCCCTCAAGACAGTATTTATATTGCTTTAGCTGGGTAATCCTCCTGCCTCTTGCTGGATACAAAAAAAAAATAAAAATACAAGCAACATGTAAAATTGTATATTACTCAAAAAAAATCTGACTCAATTCCTTATCCCAGTTGCCGATTTCCACTGTGGCAGGGGAGCTTTGGTTTCCGCCGGGGGCTTATTTTTAGCTCCCTTAGACCTTGTTTCAACTGTATGGACAGGAAATTACAAGCAGGCCAAAGGTTTCCTGGTTTCCTGACATTCCTTTCCCTGCAACTGTTTCCAATATTTTTTCTAGACCAGAACATTTTATTTCTAGTATTTTTATCTTGCTAGTCCAAAAATGCAACTCTTGAATTTGGAATTCTTAAACATTTTATTATTTCTGGTTTATTTTTGTCAAATCCTTAGAGATCTCATAAAATAATTTTCAGATCTACTTTGTGAAATTCACTGGTTTTCTTTGGGGATGTCTCCAGCTTTTGTTCCAGGCCTTCTCCTAACTCCTTTCAGCCATCTGAGTATTAGATGCTACTAGCAGTATTCGAAGGCATTCGGAAGTATTTCCAAGGAATACCTGCTTACCACACAGCTCCTCGGGAACCACCTCTGCACATTTTTAAAACTGTACGCACCAGCACTTGGTCAGGTTTTGGGGTCCCGCGAGTTGCTTCCAGATAGGGAAAACCTGAGCGTACGGCTGCTCTTTTAAATAACCAGAGCCATAACAACCTCCAACCCAGCTCCACCGCGGTTCTCCCCCTCCCCCTCCGCCTCCGCGCCCCCTCCGCGCGGGGCAGCCCGCGCGCCCCCGCCCCCTGGTGGCCCCGCTGCCGCCAGCGCGGAGCGCGCGGGGGCTCCTCGCCCCGCCCCGCCGCGCCCTCCCCTTCCCCTTCCCCTTCCCCTTCCCCTTCCCCTTCCCCGGCCCTGCCGGGTGCTGCGGGGAGGGGGAGACCCCCTGGGGTAAGTGGGAGCAGAAGGAAACGTACCTTCGGCAGCCACAGCTGCCTCCTGCTGCCGGCCTAGGGAAGGGCTCGCTTCTGTGCGCGCTGCAAGTCCTTGGGAATCACAGGTGGTTCCTGTCGTACGCTTAAAATTATAAAAACTGCCATGGGAGTGGGAGAAGGTCCTGCTGGATCCCCAGGTGGCTGCAAAGCCAGAGACACCAGAAACAGAAGGCATGAAGATTCCACAGAGAAGGATGAAAGATGAAGATTCCACAGAGAAGGATGAAAGGTGGTTAGTTTCGTCTAATATTTCTCTGTTTTTCTCACACCTACATCACTCCTCTGGGTGGATGTACAGGGAAATTGGTTGCTGTGTATATATATACACAGATGCGGGAGTAAAGAAGTGACTGACATACAGCCGTGGTTATTGTGGGTGAGGTGGGCAGCTATTGCCATGGAGGCAGAAGTTCATGGGGAAGCTCCAAAGTTATTAACTCTCAAAACATAATCTGCATAACATCCTTACAGACTGGGGAGATTGGCTCAATCTGCACCCCTTGATTCGAAGAACTGGTACTCAAGGCAAATGAAACCTTAACTTGATTGGAGCAGGATGTCACATCACTGAGGGACACAGTGCTCCCCTGCTGCTCCTGGGCCAGGCACCACGAGAGCCTCTGCTCTACCTGTGCCCCGAAGACGCTTGCCCACACTTAACTGCAGGACACCAGCAACTGTGCATGTCATGACTTGAGGATTCCTGCCAGAATTTCCTGTGTGTGTGTATGTGCTGGAGTGAAGCTGGTAAGTCCCTCATTGCAAGGTGACAGCTGGGACAGGTTGTTCAGTGTCACTTCTATTCAGTCCATCTTACCCAGCACAACAAACGGCAGTTGGCAAATGAACATGAAAATACTGATACTCAAAGCCAGAAAACCTATTCTGACGCTGGCCAGAATCTGCGTGGGCCCTTCCCACATCCACTCCCAGTGGTGTCTGTCAGGTTTAAGGGACCAAGTTAGTTGTGACTTAAACCATTTCAAAGAATGCGAAACCGGGGAAGCAACAGGTTCTGGCAAGGAGGTCTCTGTTCACGGGGCCCTCTGTCCCCGGAGCCCAAGGAGGAAGGCAAGAGGGAGGCGGTGAGCCACGAGACGCCTTGCCAGGACGCCAGGCTCTGGGGCAGCAGCGGGGCTGCCGGGCAGACGTGCGGCCCCGCGTCCTCGCTGCATCGCGCCAGCAGGGAACGGCAACTGCCCAACCCGCAGGCCCGCTCCCCACTCCCCGGGCCACTAGCGGGACGTGCGGGCGGGTGCGAAGCTCCCCTGACTCTGCCTGAGCGCTATAGAGCCTCGCAGTGCCGAGGAGTCTCGTGAGTGCCCCGGGACGAGCAGGGAGAGCAGCGGAGCCCGCGCTCCCCGACCGGCCCCTCCGGGCCCCGCACCGGTGCCGGCGGACGACAATTCCCAGCATGCCCGGCGCGCG